CAAAGGTAGCCAAGCCCTCTAGAAACTCCCAGGTTGACCATCTGGAAATCTGAAAAGTAGTTTTCACTGTTGCAGTATTCAAGATCTATGAGAAGCTAAGGGCAAATTTAGCCCATCAAGCTCCAACTGTTCCGACAAATATCACTTTTGGGTATATTGCCTACTTAAAATGGTTACAGAAATAAGAGAATATTCACCCAGTCCACCAATGGCTACCTAGTCGAGACAACAGTCTTGTGTTTGGCAACTCTCTGACACCCTAGAGACTTCTTGTAGCTGAACATGCTCCACGGACAGAGCATTTGGCCGAGTTGGTTTTCTTTCAGACAGTCACTGTTCTTTTCCTTAAAGATAAGCTGGTGCTCTCCCTCCGTAGGCAAGGTCTGCCATCATGGTGATGAGGTTTAAGGTACCGGGTCACCAGGGGCAAAGGGGCTTTTCAGCAGCATCAAGGTCTAGTGCGGCTTAGCGGTTCCTGGATGAAGGCAGAATCCCATGTGTATCTCAAAGTTTACTCTTCAGTTTTATTCTTAGTGTATTTTTTTTGTTATGGCCTATTATAGAATCAGTGAATAGTAATCTTAAAAGGGCAAAAAATCTGCTAGATTTGCATTTTTTCTTTTTAATGTAGTGTGAACCTAGGTGTCGGTAGCACTATAGATGTGTAGAGGTACAATACATTATTTGTCAGTCTTCATAGCACATTATTTTTTTTTTCTTTACAGGAGAGATTTTACTCACTCCAACTAAAATCTACAGCAAAACCCTCTTACCCATCCTTAAATCGGGCCACGTGAAAGCCTACGCACACATCACTGGGGGCGGACTGCTGGAGAACATTCCCAGGATTCTGCCTGCAGCCCTCGGGGTCACTTTAGGTAAAAATTAACAAAAATGATGATGAAATGAGGATCACAGCTCACTTTGCTCGTACAATGATTATCCTCCCACATTAAAGAAAATAGGAAAGTTGTGGGAGTTTTGTCTGTTTTTTTTTGGTTTTACTTTAATACTTCAGATTGAATGTTTGGGTCTCAAAATTGCTTTCCTCTCAGTGGTCTGCTCGAACACAATCTCCCCAGCTTCTAAATGTACGTGGCTGTTGGCACCCTTCCTCCTGGCATCCCCCAATCAGCTGATGAAAGGGGCCAGTTGGAAAATTCTCAGTTGAGCGTTGAATGCAGCCAATCGGCTGCTCTCTCCTTTCAGGTATTCTGACGGGCTGCTGTCAAAATACAATGCAAACAGTGGGGGATTCGTCCGTCAACGCTCATAAGCGATGATGGAGGAATGTTCTAAATTTTTTTTTTTTTTAAACCGCAAGCTGAATTAAACAAAAAAAAAGTGTATACCCCGCTTAAGAGTACATATAGAAATCTTTCATATGCAAGCTGAATAATTTTAGATTTTTGATTAAGCTCCATCCATGACTGATTCTAATTTTATGAATTGAAATGTGAGATGAGTGATTTTGGAGTAGCAAACAGTTCTAGACTTCTTCACAAAAGGCCACGATCTCCATCTTATTATAGCGATCATGTTTTCCCATAACTATGCGTAATCTTCTTTTCAGATGCTCTTTGCTGGAAGGTTCCAGGGATATTCTCCTGGCTGCAGAAGCAGGGAGGTCTATCCGAGGATGAGATGAGTCGGACCTTTAACTGCGGGATTGGTGCTATATTGGTGGTGGAGAGGAGACAGGCCGAGGAGGTTCTGAGGGAACTCCAGGCAGCGGAGGATGTGTGGACTATCGGAGAAGTGATTTCCCACCCTGCGGGTATTGTATTTATTTGGGTTAAAGCAGAAGAATATTGTGTTACAATGAGAAGCTACCAGAACGCGAAATAAAATCAAGTAGTGACACTTTTGCCCGCTTTCCTTGCCATGAAAGAGCAGCCGATAGGGACTTGCGTGCCTCACACCCTGAAAAAATGTTTTTGTTTTGCTCTCCCCTCGCCACTATATCTCACTGAAGGACCAAATGGGTCCCCCCCCCCCCTTTTTTTAAGACCCAAGATGCTACAAGGGGTGGGGTAGCCAAATAGAGGTGCTTTGGTGACTACGCTGATGCTTCATAGAGTGCAGTGAGTGTAGTCACCATAGGACGGGAAGTGTTACCGACCAGGATTACCAGGTGAAAAGAAAGGTAAATCAGCCTCGGAGAGAAAACAAATGCAGACAATACATCTCAAGACTGGTACGCTGCAGCATATCACATTTTTGTTCTTGGGATTAGATGCAATTTAATTTACCTGATGTCAATCTAAATCTGACTGACTGCTAGAGGTTACTGACAATTACACATTGACTTGTATGGAACAGAAAGGGTAGTTGTATCTCTGAAATGCCATTGTGGTTAAGTGATGTAGTCATTTTAGATGTAGTTTTGTATTCAGGTGATGAGTGGCCCGGCTAAGTGTCTTATTGTATTTCTCCGATAGATTCTTGCAGTGTGAAAGTCAGAAATCTGATGGCAGCTCTGCATGGGATGAACATACAGCCACAGAAATATGTACCCCTGTCAGGCTGTGATGGAGCGGACCAGGTGACTGAAGGAAAAGCTAGAGTAGCTGTTCTGATCTCTGGGACTGGTAAGCATTCAAGCTGCTCAAACGTTTTACAAGAACTATGTCTACCTCACACCTAAGCATGGATTAATGATTCCTGGAAATTTAAGGCTGCATATCCGCACGGATGATCTACTGTAGCCTCTTTGCAGCCATTTTCTGTCTACTTGCATGCTGTCCTGCAATGGCTGCTTGTCCTTTTTTTATTAGGCATGCCTCTTTTGTGATTGTGCAGAAACATCCTGGTCACACTATCGCTTTCATGGCGGAGCTGTCATGTATTAGAAGCCTATCTTTAAGGAAAAATAAAACCTTCCCCTTGCCGTGGGGTTGCCTGGTCTAGGGTATTGGATAATTTTAGTTTTACTTGCCTGATCCCCACATCTGCTGCAGTCTGTGTGCACTACGTTTTTTGGAGCCTCTCTCGGCTTCCTCACTTATAATGCAAAACTATGGGAGGTTTTTTTTTTTGTTTTTTCTCCCCTGAAAAAAGGTTTTTAAAAAAGTTACTTGAACATGTGAGATCTATGAGCTGTTGGGTTTACACATACTATGTGAATTTCCTGGGATTAAATCAAGAACGCTGCCTAGCAAACATTTGGCAAGAAAAAAGGTAGAAACTGATCAGTTTGATGGATGAACATTACTAAAGCTTCCATCCTTTGGTCTGCAAAACTCTCCTTACGGACAGGCAGTTCATGCATCACGATGCAGAGCAGGTCTGCTGTGTCCAAATGATGTCCCATAGAGGCAGCCAGGAACAGCTTTAGAGAAAAGATGAATGCAAACACAGACCATGCTGCTACAGGATTTCTCTTCAGAAACGGCAACCCGCCATTTTCTGCACAGGCTGCTGGGACAAGTGCAAATTCCTAATGTTGTGGTGACTGGTGCACTGCACTGCAGCACTCCTTTTTTGTCAACTTTGCGTTCAAAGTTTAATACTGAACATGTACAATACAGACATTATGAAAATGTATTTTGAGCCGAGTCAGAATCTTTATTTTTTTTATTTTTTTTTCTTGCCACAGGTACCAATATGGAGGCATTAATGAGAAGCACTAAATCTCCCAGCAGTGCTGCCCAGATCACCCTGGTGATCTCCAACAAGGCCGGAGTCGGAGGACTGCAGAAGGCAGAGGCAGCTGGTATTCCAACTAAGGTGATTGGCTGGCTCCTCAGTCATGTGACCTAATTTGGTCTCTGTGATGCAAAGAAACCAGTCAAAAAAAGTTTCCCAACCACTTTAATTTAATTGGTCTAAAATTGGGTTACAATCGGCAACTACTCCACTAATACTCCTACCCCCCAATTTCCTTCCTGAAAAGCCCTGTGTTATGTAAATAGACCAATGCCGGGTCATTGCTTTAGGGTTACCATCTTTGTCTAAGCGTAACCAAACTGGAAGAAAGGAGGTGCTGTGAGACACAAGTCGAACCAGTGTGATTTAGTCATTATGAGCGCAGTGAAATGAAGTGCTGTTTCCATTATTTTATTGTAACCAAAATTCTTTCTTCAGTCTGGGTATCTAAAGTAGTTTGTACATGAAAAGCACACATTTAAGGGCTAAGGGACATGCACATCTTCAGATATTGTACGGATAAAAATGACAAGTCACTTATCCAGCTGATCACCTGATCCATGAGCAGAGGGATAAATTGTGAGTGGATTGGTACATCTCCCTTCCCCCAGTAATCTGGCAACACACACACACCCACACCACCCACACCATTATAAATGCATGTTGTTTACCACGACAGTAGAAGTGACTTTTTTCTGAAGATACGGGTAAACGCCGCGATTTAACAGCCTTTGTACGTGGGATGATTGTTGGCGCTCGGAGCCATGGAGCGAGTTATCGGCAAAACAGCAGAATTCGTTAAATGTTCAAGAGCAGCTGTTGTTAAAGTGTTTAAAGACTGGACTGTCAGCCGAAAATCTGGGTCTGAACGTGCGAATTGTGGCCGTCAGCGACTAGTCAATGTTAGGGCAGAACGGAGAGTGGCAAGACTGGTACAAGACAACAGAAGGGCAACAGTGCATCAAATTACTGCAGATCTTAATCAGGGATCCTCTCAAATGATCTCTGAACGCACTGTTCGCCGTACACTGCATCGTATGGGATATGGAAGCCGAAGGCCTGTTCGAACACCTTTGCTGTCTGCAGTTAACAAGATAAAACGTCTCCCATTCGCACAGGAACACAAGGATTGGACAGTCGAGCATTGGAAAAAAGTCATGTGGTCCGATGAATCACGTTTCCAGTTGCATCATGCAGATGGCAGAGTGAGAATTTGGCGGGAACAGCATGAAAGCATGCACCCCACATGCATGAGTACAACCCTTCAAGCTGGTGGGGGCAGTGTTATGGTTTGGGGCATGTTTTCCTGGCATGATTTGGGCCCTTTAATTCGTGTGGAACAAAGTCTGAATAGCACAATATACCAAAGTATTGTTGCTGATCAAGTTCATCCTCATGTTGATGGCGTATCCCAACGGTGATGGCTTCTTCCAACAAGACAATGCGCCATGCCACGGCGCTCGTGTTGTGCAGGAGTGGTTTCAAGAACATGAGGGAGAATTTACCTTGCTTAGGTGGCCCCCACAATCACCAGATCTCAATCCAATTGAGCATTTGTTGGACGAAGTTGAAAGAGCCATCAGGCAGCTGGTTCCACAACCATCAAATCTCACAGAACTGGACAGTGCTATTCATCAGGCATGGTGTCAGATTCCTCGCATCACCTTTCAACATCTCGTGGAGCCAATGCCAAAAAGAATCGCCACAGTATTGAAGGCAAAAGGTGGCCCAACGAAGTACTGATGGGGTGGTCATAATAATCTGGCCACTCAGTGTGTGTGTGTGTGTGTGTGTATATATATATATATAGATATCTCTATATATAGATCGATAGATCTATATATAATTAGTAAATTAATATACAAACCTGTTGTTTTTTAAACTGACTTCGTAGACTTCTAAATACATTCCACACTTCAGGTCATTGACCACAGACAGTACAGCAGCCGGGAAGAATTTGACAACGCCATCGATAAGGTTCTGGAGGAATTCTCTATCCAATTTGTGTGTCTGGCCGGCTTCATGAGGATTCTGTCAGGGCCATTTGTCAGGAAGTGGAGCGGTGAGTGAGGTTTATTGATTCCTACTTATAAGTGCATGAGTATGTCTGTATTTTTATTTCATTTTTACATGAGGAGGTCTCTTAACAGGTTCACAGTGTATTTGCGACCCCCTGCGCCTGAAATCCTGATCACCCAACTGATTTTTACACTAAACGGACACATCAAGAAGTGGTTTGGGTCAGGTTTTAGTCTGTTGCAGAACTATTTTAGAGCAACTGAAGGAAAATGTATGAACCAAGCTGTAACCTTGTAGTAAAATATATCTGAGGTCAATCTAAACATTAAAAAGTAAGAAACTAAGAAGCTGTGCAGCATCTCAAACATTCTAATAATAATATACAGCGCTAAATTAAAGTTAACCAAAATGCAATCATGCATTAACCCCTTCATGACTGAGCTAGTTTTCAGTTTCTGTTCATAAATGACTGACACGCTTTTTACATTTTTGCTGTGTGACTCTTCCACGGCAGTAATATACATTCTTACTAAATGTACCCACACATATTATATATTGTTTTTTAGAGGGCAGATAGGGCTATATAATTATATCAGACATGTACCTAACGCCTCACTTAGTTTGAATCCAAATATAAAAAATGAGGGGAAAAAAACGAAACACTTTTTTTCACAAGTTTTGATTATTTTTTTGAATTTTTTTTATAATTCTAGTATAAAAATATATTTATAATTTTTTATTTTCCTAATTTTGTTTTACACTTTATTTTTTTTAATACTTTGTAAAAAAAAAAAGTAAAAACAAACTTTTTTGTCAGTTTATATCAAGCAGTCACTATGACTGCTTGATAACTTTTTTTAATTTTTGGCTATTATGAGGCTGCTCCAAACTTAGGAACAGCCATAATAACCATAGAGACTGATCCTGACAGCATATCAGATTCAGATCTCACTAAAGCTCTTTGATCGTGCCTAGACATCAGAAATGATACATTTCAAGCAAAGAGATACATTGCATCTCTTGTATCTCTTTGCTTGAGATGTATCACATAGCTTCATAAACATTGGGCCAGTCTATGGAGCTGTCAAAACAAATAGCAGGGAGGTGAATCACTCTGCTGCCTCTCTGCTATTTTCAGCTGTCAAATACCAGAGTATTGACTTAATGAAAGAAATAAGCTTTTACAAAAACTTAACTATTTCATCAATGAATGCCTCAATGCTGAGGCATTCATTAATGACTGGTAACCGCTGAGAATCAGCAGTTACCGATATTACAGAGCCTGATTTAACTCGTCACGTACAGTGCACATGGCCAGTCATATAGGCACAAAGTGCCGGGACGTACAGTGTACGTCTCCCGTCACGAAGGGGTTAATATGAACCTAGAAAAACAATGAATGTGGAAAATGACAGTACTCATAGAAAGTGCAGACCACTGAAAAAGTGTAAGGAAATTCTCATATCGGAATTGGATATCCCATGGCTAAAATAATGGCGATGTGGAATATTCCTTTTTTTTTGTGGCGTCATATGTTATAATGGCTGTGTATATATAGAATTAATAAACAAATATATATTAAATAACAAAAGGAAAAAAAAAAAGTTCATGATACTGATGCTTATATCAATCCACTGATTTTTATTTATGTG